GCTTTGAATGACTTTTAACCCATATTCTTTGACCAGCTTTAGGCTTAAAATATGGGTTAAAAGTCATTCTTAGACCAGCTGTAGGCTTGAAGTATGGGTTAAAAATAGTTCAAGCCTACAGCTGGTAGAAGAATGACTTTTAACCCATATTTTAAGCCTACAGCTGGTCTAAGAATTACATTTAACCTATATTTTAAGCTTACAGCTGGTCGACGAATGACTTTTAACCCATACTTCAAGGCTACAGCTGGTCTAAGAATGACTTTTAACCCATATTTCAAGCCTAAAGCTGGTCTAAGAATGACTTTTAACCCATCCTTCAAGCCTACAGCTGGTCTAAGAATGACTTTTAACCCATATTTTAAGCCTAACTACAGCTGGTCTAAGAATGACTTTTAACCCGCTTAAAATTTGGGTTAAAAGTCATTCATTCTTCTACTAACTGAGCGAGTTAAAACGTTCGCATTATAATACCATTACGTCTTCCGATGTTATTACACATTTCATTGAACATAGTGCATAATTATTTTCTTTAGTTACTCGCTGAACTTAACTTTCAATACTCTGTTATAAACTGCCCGAAGTAGTACCGGAAGACTCTCGATCTGTTGTCAAACGATCTGCTACTGAGATTACACCTCTTTATGATGTAAAGTTTTTAAAACTAAGATAAATTTAAACGACGACACTAAAAACATCCGAACTGTAGAGTTGTGTCTTTCGAATCACTTTGTTCTAATATTTACTGTTCCGTACCATCTGAAAACATAGTTTATTTTAATAACCAACGGTTTTGATATCATGAAAAATTAGATTAAAACGAAATATTTTTTTCCGCCATCTACCTTTTTTTTTCTTCTTTTCTTTTTTATGCTGTCAAGTGATATAATTCCAAGTACCTCCTTAACAAGTAAGTTTTAGCTGATGTTTCTAGATATTTTTGGCTCCTTACCAGGTTTATTATAGATATATTATTTTTACTATAGGTAAAATTGAAAATATAATGTGTGACATAGAGATCTAGATTTGTTGCCGTGCTGGGCTCAAACGCTCGTACCAACAACAATGTGTGTGTATGTGGTCTTCTTATCTCTCCAATTGTTTTTGACGTTATTTGTATATTAGGGTTAACGCCGAGAGCTGACGAACCAATTAAAAACCAGTAAGCCTAAAATACGTGGTTAAAAATCATGCTATGTGAAGTTTTTTTCTCTTCAAATTGCTCTGAATTTATCCATTTAGAATTCAAAACCAGAAATGGGCAATGCAGAGGAACATAAGGAAAAAAATAATTTGCAGCTAGCATGATTTTAGCACATGATTTAGGCCTTTTGACTATTTGTAGATTGTTTGTGTTGTATGTTAGATAAAGTTAAGTTTGTATATTGTTTGTGTTATATGTTAGATAAATTAAGTTATCGAGCTTATTTCAAATAAAGTATGAAAAACAGTCAATTAAAACTGAATAACCGACTGAGAGTTGTAAATAATATTATACATTTTAAAATTATCTAAACTCTAATGTTTAAATATATAATATTTAACAAGAAACAAAACTTTAAATAATATCAGGGTGTATAGTTTTGCATTGAGTAACTTAAACAAAGTGATAAATTTGTGTTATCTACTGTAAAAGATTGGAGCTCAATGGAATTTTTATTAACTTCTTTATAACCACTGTCTGTTTATACAATATGTGATTTTTGTTTGCCTATTTTTACGTATGATATCAAGATAAAAAAAAAACAAAGACATTCCAACTTTATGTGATGTGAATTTTTTTTTTTTTGAATTAAAAAGTAAACTCCGGAGATCGTGACTTTGACAAGAGTGTACTTATACAAAAGTCCAGTAAATAAATCCAGTAGACTGAAACATCCAATTTCTAAAACAGGTAATTTTGTCGTTAAGTGTATTGAGTCAATACACCTGGATTTTATATACCATTTCTTTCTCGCAGGAATATTTTTTTTCTTTGTTTCATTATTATTTCAATTTATAAAACTTTACAAAAAAAAATAAAAAAATATACGGCCAAATTAGAATTTTTTTTTAAGAAGCTTCTGTGTTGAACTTCGCGCAAAGCTACACGAGAGCTATCTGCGCTAGCCGACCATAATTTTGAAGTGATAGACTAGAGGGAACGTAGCTAGTCAACACCACCCACCGTCAACTTTTGAGCTAATCCTTACCCCCCCCCCCTACACTGCTGGAAAGGCAGTCATGTTTGGTGACGTAATTCGAACCCACGATCCCCAGGGTGTTACGGTGCTGTTATCTGTACTGAAACAGTTATAAAATAAGGATATATTCCGTTCAAGAGGTAAAATAGGGATAGTAAGTTTAGATTCCTAAAACCAGTCGCTTCCCAAAAAAGGTTTATCATTGTTAATATCTGAACACGGTATTCTCGTCGCCAACAATCCGTTCCAATAATTTGTTTGTTGTTAGTTTCTTTGTTTTGTTTTACCGGAACCAACAATAGACTTTTTTTCAAGCAATATAAGACAGTAAAAACAAAAAACACCGACACCACTAACGATAACTAGTGTTTTTGTTTTGCTGACTTAAGAAACTTAAAACGTGTATAATAAAATATTATTTATTTACTCGTATTTTAGTTGCTGTTTCTTTGGTAATAAGAGTTTTATTATATTTGTAAAAATTACTGGTGCCTTTGTTTCGAAGAAAAAAAATTAAATTTTGGAATAGTTCATCAGGTGTGGATTCTTTGTTAAAAATATTTATTACACTACCACTCCAAATTCGTGCTTTTTGTACTTTCATTGAATGGATCTGTTAACAATATTTATTACACTACCACTCCAAATTCGTGCTTTTTGTACTTTCATTGAATGGATCTGTTAACAATATTTATTACACTACTCCTCCAAATTCGTGCTTTTTGTACTTTCATTGAATGGATCTGTTAACAACATTTATTACACTACTCCTCCAAATTCATGCTTTTTGTACTTTCATTGAATGGATCTGTTAACAATATTATTACACTACTCCTCCAAATTCGTGAATAAAGGTTCATAGTGGAATGGATCTGTTAACAATATTATTACACTACTCCTCCAAATTCGTGCTCTTTGTACTTTCATTAATTGAAGTCTACTATTTTCACATAAAAGTATAAAGATTTGGGACAACTCTAAATTTTCGAAGACGGAGAAATCTCGTGTGAAATATAGTTGATATTATAGCGAAAAACACAGTTAACAAGAAAGGCATAATATAGTTGATATTATAGCGAAAAACACGGTTAACAAGAAAGGCATAATATAGTTGATATTATAGCGAAAAACACAGTTAACAAGAAAGGCATAATATAGTTGATATTATAGCGAAAAACACGGTTAACAAGAAAGGCATAATATAGTTGATATTAT